TGTGTCTGTCTGTGTGGGGGCCATGTAGGCCAAACACAGGCCCTATTCACAGATAGCATAGCAGGCCACTGGAGGAGCTGCTAATGACTAGGCCTCATTAGGAAGACATCACCGTTTCTAAAGAGGTAAAGCCATTGTTCCCCATGTGGAGAGGTAGAGCTGCAGGGTCGCATGCAGCACAATGGATCGGAACACCTTATCAGGTTTATTACCTATGCTCAAAACAGAACACAGAACAACACCTTCTCCATGCTGTGTACCAGATTCACTTTAGAGAGGCCAATCTGTTGCAGATGAGCAAGATGAGAGGTAAGGGTGGGGGGCATTATTAGATTTGCAACAAGCCGTAACACTGTCTCCCATTGTGTGTCCCGCCACCCATGCCCTCCCCCAAACTCCTGACCGTAGAACACTCCCCCTGGCTAAAACTCTCTCCAGGCAATTGCCAGTGGAGTGGAAAGTATTCCAGAGTACAATGCCGATGCTCTGAATGGGTGCTTTTGCATGCCATCAGTGCACTGTCACCAGCAGATGGGGAGCTAATTAGAAGCCATTAAAGGGCTTTGATAGTGTGTGTGGGAACCAGGCGGAGGCAGGGGGTTAGGCTGGGGTCCACTGGTCCCACTGTGAATGTGCAGGCACACAAGCTGCTGCTGGCTGCAAAGTGCCCAAACTGTGCTTGTCCCTGAGTGTGAGGGAGAGGGCAGCCATCCCCAGGCCAGGGCCAAGGACACAGTCCAAGACATCTGTGGGACAGGATGGATCTCTATGGTGCAGCACTTACTATCAGTCAACACAACACTTGTATAATCTAGAGATTTGCCAGTTTCGATGTCCATAAGACTGCTATGATGAACAGCCAGGAGCTAACTTTGTTCATCCTCTCAGGAGTCAGCACTAGAGTTGCGAAATTCTGTGAACTTTCAATAAATTCCCTGGTTTTCCAGAAATCCTGGTTGGAGGGTTTCCTGCTTATTCACTCCTGATTCCGGGAATCCTCCAACCAGGACTTTGGGAAAACCAGGGAATTTATTGAAAGTTCCCCGAATTGTGCAACCCTAGTCAGCACCACCTCCCCCAGCAACATTCCCCTGTTTCTTAGAGTATTTCAGTTCAAAATCAGATCTAATTTTATTTGTCAAATGCTTTGTAAACAACAGGTGTAGACTAACAGTGAAATGCTTACTTACCAACAACGCAGAGAGAAGAAAATAGAGAGTAGGACAAGCCTGTGAAACTCAGGAAAATAAATAGCCATACACACAGTGACCGTTCAGACGCCTCCAGACCTTACAGCAGAAAGCCGGTTCTGCTGATGACACATCTGTGAACAGGGCCTGCCCTGTCATTGGACAGGATGTGACTGACTCCCCACGGCCAGAAGCTCATTAGAGGCCAATCTCCCCAGGGGGACACCAGGGCTGACCAGACCAGGGCATGGCAAAGCAGAGCATAGCAGAGCAGGACAGTTACCACAGGGAACAGGAGGGAACCAATCAAAAACAAACCCGTTGTGTAAGCAGAAATCACACACTCAGCCCAACCACCTTGTCTTACAGACACTTCTTGTTATCATCTTTATTTCCCCTGCTCCTAATGTGTCTCAATCACTAACAACATTACACATTTGACATTGACTATCACACACTATGTATACCTGACACCACACCGCACCACTCCCTTATGAGTGGTGGTGCTCCTCTCCACACACCTGCACAGGTGTGATCATTATCGACCAAACAGGAAGAGCCAGACTGGAACTGGAAACTAATCCCACAGCTGCAGGGAGATGGTGTGTGTGTGTGTGTGTGTGTGTGTGTGTGTGTCTGTGTGTGTTTTTGGTTTTATTATCCTTGTGGGGACCAGAAGTCTTCACATGGATAGTAAAACAAGGAAAATTCGGACAAGTGGGGACATTTCGCCGGTCCCTACAAGGAAAAAAGCTATTTTAGGCATAGGGGTTAGGTTTAGGTTTTTGAATGGGAATCGATTGTTTGGTCCCCACAAGAATATTAAAAGAAATGTGTGTGCTTGTGCTATATTAAATTACATTATAAAAAAATTCAACTATATGATGTCATGATTTATGATTGAATGATAATTGTTAAGTGTGAAGTCCACAATCAAAAATGATATCACACATTATTGTTGACTCATAGAATTAGAAGATCCATGTTTCAGGAAGCCCTATGAGCAGTATCTATTGTTCCATGGTAATTATAACAGTGGCAACAGGGTTAATACCGGAATGTCGTTTCCCCTCTGATCACCAGCTTTCCCCCTCACTACATCCTGTACTTTGCTTTTGTGGAACTACTTTCTGTAGCGATAAAGAGGGTGCATTAGCCAATACACTTCCCCTCTTCAAATGGGACAATCTACTACAGTATAGTGACAAATCTGTGGGGGAAAGTTTATGTTCTGGCACAAACTGTTGAACACACTGCTGCACTGTACACAGTGTTCCTTCTGAGTAACAGACTGCAACTGTTGCAAATCAACCTTTTTGATGGATGCTGTAATAGCATGTGCTACATTGATACATTCAGAATACAATGTACAAAGATTAAATACAACTTGGGATCAGATTTTTACCATATGTCATTCAAATTCATTCGGGCAATTAAATGTATGCATTTCAGTATTAACTAGAATGAATGAATGACCATGGAAAACAGGGTTTTGGGTAGGTGGGTGGGTGGTGGTGGGGGGCATTGCCATTCTGTCAGTTCAAATCAGGAGCTAATATGTTTCACGTTTCTTTTCCCTCCTCTGTCTCTTCCCTCTTCCCTCTCTCTGTCCTTGCCTTGATGTGCTGTAAACAGGCTAAAAAGGGCCCAGCTGTGTGGAGTTATTGTTGGTGTCAATAGGAAGTGCTGATAGCTTTCGGAGCTGAACAAAAGCTGGATGAGGGGAGTGGAGGGGCGCTCCAGACACTGTGGCTCCAGCCTAGATTCTCTCCCACAATCCCTTCACCGCACTCCCATTGTTCTGGCTGCCGGCCCTCCCTCCTTCCCCCCTCCAACCTGTCAGCTGCGACCTGGGACAGAGTGCAAAAAAATAAAATACTAAATTACGTTTTTAAAAAAGTTTTAGGGGCTACTGCCGCAAGTTAAAAAAGTTCCTTAACTTTGTTATTACCAGTGATAATAGTTAACTTACCATTATGTGTGAGGCTTGTAATTTATTTTGAACCCTATAGCAGTGGGTTTAGTTTATAAATTGAATTAAACTTTTTGAAGAAGCAACATATTGCAATTAGCCTATATGTATGCAAATGAGCCTAGATTTCACTAGAAAAACAATGGGGAAAAAACTAATTAAAAACAGAAAATAGTCAGTTTAAAGTAATTTTAGCATACTGTCTTAAACTGTTGCAGAATATATAATTGAATAACACTGTTTGGTATCACTGTTTAAAAATAATAATAATGCATAACTTTTCCTGGAAATTCTAGCTTTTAGAAAAGCTGCATGTTTCATAGAAGATATTTTGCTGGTTATACTGCTGTGTTGATTTTAGGAGACATTCATAGACAGACAGCCTCCATAGTTTCATGTGAAGGAATGCTGCCGCAATTTATCCTATTATGTTGCGTAAAAATGCGGTACAAATGCATGCTTTCACTTTACAGCTCTCCCTCTTTCTCTTTCTCATTCGTTTCCTAAAATACTCTGCTCGAGTAAACTGGCGAGAATGCCCGTTTGCAGGTGCGCGGGCGGTAACCTCATCAGAGTGATTTAAGGCGATAAATGAATGACGATCTCCTAAAGCAGTTAGTTCTCAGGGTTTGCGCGTGTGTAGTGCAATCAGGGATCCTTGGGACGTCCCTACCCTAACCCTAACCTTAACCATAACCCTTGCCTAACCCTAACCGTCCATTTCAATGGGGTAGGGACGTCCCAAGGATTCGAAATAGCATGGACCGTTTGCGCGCTACGCAGGTGAATGGTGGAGTGCTAGCCTGTTGTTTGAGGTCTCCATAGCGACCGCCCGCTAGGCGCCAGGCTGACAGGCGCCAAGGCTCAGATGAATGGGTGACGTCACGGCGCTGGCGCCTGCCAGTCTGCCTCGGCTTGTTTGGACAATCTGGAGGAAGATTCAGAACAGAGCAATGCAATTTCAATGTGCACACAAGGCTGAGCACACACGGAGAACATGTGAAGGAATCCGTGAAGTGACTCACAGGGGCTTCCCTTCATGAGAGGAAAAAGAGAGTCTGTGCTAAAAAGTGCAGTTTGTAAGTATAAAGGAAGCTTAGTTTGACTTTTAACACACATTCTCAGCAAATTATGGTGAATAACGGGAGAAAGTGCGCCAAATACATACATGTTGGCCTATAAATAAATATTTATAATAAATAATAACTAACACTACACTAAATTGTGAATGTTGTTTTTCCCTCTTGTGTGTAAAGTTCTCTCAATCATAAATTGCACACAGGAATGTTATAGATATAGAGCAAATTGTTTGAATGGACTTTAATCATATTACACTATACCCAATGGTAATAAACCAATTATTCATAGTCTGAATATCTCTTCATTTATGGCACATTTATAATGTGGTCATCTAAGGTGCCCTCTAACTGCTGGGTGGCAAATCTCAGGGGCTATGGTTATTAATACTAGCCATTCATCCCATCCGACACACACCACATATCCCCCATACCCATACACAACACCACCTCTTGAGTGTCCCCAGGCACTCTACACCTGCAGAGTCCCCAAGCCATGGCCAGCTGGATTCCCACATAGGCCTATCACCCGTAAAAATACACATTTGTTTCCATTTGTAACGCCTTCTCTCAAACATATTCTAAATCCTTATAACCAGGCGCACGCTCCCATTGGCCAAGAACACAGTTGTGAAATGTCCTTCTAGCGCTAACACGGCCGCGCTATTGGCCCTCGCACCGCAAACAGGACAAGTTTGGGCACGCCCCCATGTCCAGTCTATTATAAATTCAAGGCGGTACACTCGTGCGTTGTTGAGAACTGTCAACATTACTGAGACAACGTTCCCAAGACTACTAACAATACTTTTGGAGCCTTCGCTAATCTCCAAAACGTTTACGCACCATCTTTTCATTATCCTTGGAAACTACAGCTACACCATCAGCCAATATGAAGGTTGTCGGACCTACCTGCGCACTGAAGAGCAAGGTTGGCGGCGAGGACATGGTGCGGTGCCTTTCCGACCAGAGCCTGTCCATCTCCAAATGCAAGATCCCGCTGCTGGACGAGCAGATGACCGTGTTTCTGCAAGACATGAACAGCTGCTACAGCAAGCTGAAGGAGCTGGTCCCAACTCTGCCCACCAACAAGAAGGCCAGCAAGGTGGAGATCCTCCAGCACGTCATTGACTATATCTGGGACCTGCAGGTCGAGCTGGACGAGCCGGAGAAGAGCCGTCAGCAGAGCAGCGTGCCCCGCACACCTCTGACCACCCTGAATGCAGAGCTGGCAAGCATCGCTGTCGAGGTAAATATCACTCTGACATGTCTTGATGAGTTTCTGCAAGAGCTACCTAGTGTCTCCCAATATCAGACTTGGCTGTTGGAGGTATCCTAAATATGAATAAACTGTAGCCGTGCGTAAAGGTGGTTTATAACCGTGAATAAAGTTATGTTGCATTGAAACTAGTAGGCAAGTACTTTCACAGCAAACACTGACCTAACGTTTTTATCTTCTCTCCAGAATGGATGCTCGGATGACAGAATCATGTGCCGCTAGACCTCTCAGAGCATCGCCCCATCGTTCCAGAGCGAGCACCACGATGAATGAACAAGGTTATATTATGTGACATTAGATCACAAACAAACCTTGAGGCAAGTAGGGAAGTTGCAAACTCCCATGCTAGAAAATACTTTTGATTGACATTCTGAAGAAGAAAGGAACTGTCACTCAAGGCCTTCGATCCATCCCGAGGTCTCTGATCTCATGGAGACTAGTGGGTCCGAATAGACTGTGTTAGTCATGGGACCATGGCAGTTACTGCAAACAGCTTCGCCTGTTGTTGTGTGGAGTTTCTCAAGAAATACAACGTTTTTGTATCTTGTAAAACATGTAGAAAATTCAAAATTGTGTAAAATAAGATGTATTAATTTTCTCAGTATCCTGAGCGACAAAATGTATTGTATATTACAATGCCACACTATGTGAAAAATATTGTTTTTTTTACAATGTACCTTAATGGTGTTTTTATTAAAACAAGGCAATACTTTTTTTAAACATGGCTTTTGGTGTTTATGGTGTGTGTGTGCCACAGATCATTTCCCAGTCACATCACATTTAGTTAGCCATTATACATTTATTATAGTGTTTACATGTGCACATACGATGCACAGGCTGAGAGTAGAGGGAAACAACATTCCCTGAACTCACTGGCTCAACTATTCAGAATCAGCTGTCTCAGCTCCTGACTAGATGAAAAATCTGTCGATGTGCCCTTGAGCAAGGCACTTAACCCTAATTGCTCCTGTAAGTCGCTCTGGATAAGAGCATCTGCTAAATGACTAAAAATGTAAATGTAATGTCTGAAATGACATTGGACCACCGCTGGTAGCCTACATAATGACTTAAGAGTTAACTTGTAATTTGCTGTTGTAGTCCTCGTTAACATATGAAATAACACGGTGGAGTGTTGAGTTAAGAGGTCTTGACGGATATTGACAATGATAACTAGCATGCAGAAAATATGTGCGGAAGTGTATAAAAGGTTATGCACTCTCTGTCAAACAAATTTGGAAAGTTATAGGAAAGTATTCGGTCTAATCAGGAATTCATCAAAAATAGATAACAATTTGGGATATGTTATAAAACACTGATATCAATAATTGTGTTTTAGTTGAGGATCCTATGCATTAGCGTTTTCTATTTCGGCAGGGCAGGGGTTAAATTGGTTTTGGAAAGGCAATTCGTTAAGATTTATTCTATCTCCCATGGTGCAATGTTTTTCCCATTTCCCTGCGGTGCGATGCGCACAGCTGCAGCCCTGGCGTTCTGAGGCACCGCCAGTGTGTGATTGTGTTTGTGTGATAGCTTTGTGCCAAGGGCAGGGGAGGGCGGCGGGACCCAGACTGAGCGGCGCCTCCGCACACCTGGGGAAGTTCAGGTTAAATAGCTCCACATTCCTCAACACACAGCTGATTGAAACATTAACAAACAGTACTCTAAGAGCCAGGCCGCAGATGGGCCGGGGGCTCTGCCAAGAAAGAGACTATCGCTCTCTGTTATAGATTCTATTCCCACATATAGGAGACCTACAGCTATTAAAATATACTTTTCACTTTCTGTAAAGAAACATATAACTAACATAGAACATCCCCTAACCCGGACGACGCTGGGCCAATTGTGCACCGCCAAATGGAACTCCCGGTTAGGGCCGTGACACAGCCTGGGTCTGTAGTGAACCCTCAATTATGGAGTGCCTTAGACCACTGGGCCACTCGGGAGGCCACAAACTCCAGCGTTTTTATACATATATTTTTCCAATAATTATATTTTACCATTTGATTACACTTTTCAATCACACATTTTGTCAGAGGACAGTTTATGAGCCCTCTTACATAATTCTGCCTCGGAACGTTGGATAGGCTACAGATAGGGCCTAGCCTACACAGTGATATAATACAATGATATGACCAACATTGCATATTTGCTTTCATTCCAACCCCCCAATCACACTAAACAGATTCCATAACTATTTTAGAGTAGATATCTTTCCTAAATACTTTACGCATGCATGAGTGCGTTTGCTTGACTACTCAAAATGAATTCTTCAGCTGCTCTATATTTCGCTATGAGTGTGGGTGGGTAGCCAGCCAAGCAATGAATGTGTAGCCTGTTTATCGATGTTTTTTTTTTAAAATGCCTTATAATATACCGCACCCATGTGGCCGCTTGGTGGACTACAGTCTTTGAAACTCAGATACCACCCAAAGGACATCAAATGTGTCTCAATCTTATTCATGGTTAATTCACAGGCTTTAAACTGGTACCACGTGAAAGCAGCAATCTGAACACAGCCGTCATGTGTAGAACAGGCACCGTGCAATGTTATTGGGATTTACACCACCACTCTTTACAGTTCAAAGACTCTTTACAGTAAAATATACAGTTGAAGTTGGAAGTTTACATACACCTTAGCCAAATAAATTTAAACTCAGTTTTTCACAATTACTGACATTTAATCCTAGTAAAAATTCCCTGTCTTAGGTCAGTTAGGATCACCACTTTATTTTAAGAATGTGAAATGTCAGAATAATAGTAGAGAGAATTATTTATTTCAGCTTTTATTTCTTTCATCACATTCCCAGTGGGTCAGAAATTGACATACACTCAATTAGTATTTGGTAGCATTGCCTTTAAATTGTTTAACTTGTGTCAAACGTTTCGGGTAGCCTTCCACAAGCTTCCCACAATAAGTTGGGTGAATTTTGGCCCATTCCTCCTGACAGAGCTGGTGTAACTGATTCAGGTTTGTAGGCCTCCTTGCTCGCACACGCTTTTTCAGTTCTGCCCACAAATGTTCTATAGGATTGAGGTCAGAGCTTTGTGATGGCCACTCCAATACATTGACTTTGTTGTCCTTAAGCCATTTTGCCACAACTTTGGAAGTATGATAGATTTTCTATTGTGTTATTGACTGTACGTTTTGTTTATTCCATATGTAACTCTGTGTTGTTGTTTTTTCCGCACTGCTTTGCTTTATCTTGGCCAGGTCGCAGTTGTAAATGAGAACTTGTTCTCAACTGGCTTACCTGGTTAAATAAAGGTGAAATAAAATAAAAATAAATAAAAATGTTTGGGATCATTGTCCATTTGGAAGACCCATTTGCGACCAAGCTTTAACTTCCTGACTGATGTCTTGAGATGTTGCTTCATTATATCCACATAATTTTCCTTCCTCATGATGCCATCTATTTTGTGAAGAGCACCAGTCCCTCCTGCAGCAAAGCACCCCCACAGCATGATGCTGCCAACCCGTGCTTCACGGTTGGGACGGTGTTCTTCGGCTTGCAAGCCACCCCCTTTTTACTTATTTTAAATTTTAGTCATTTAGCAGACGCTCTTATCCAGAGCGACTTACAGTTAGTGAGTGCATACATTATGTTTTTATTTTTCATACTGGCCCCTTGTGGGAATCGAACCCACAACACTGGCGTTGCAAACGCCATGCTCTACCAACTGAGCTACATCCCTGCCGGCCATTCCCTCCCCTACCCTGGACGACGCTGGGCCAATTGTGCTCCGCCCCATGGGTCTCCCGGTCGCTGCCGGCTACGACAGAGCCTGGATTTGAACCAGGATCTCTAGTGGCATAGCTCGGGTCATTATGGCCAAATAGTTCTATTTTTGTTTCATCAGACCAGAGGACATTTCTCCAAAATGTACGATCTTTGTCCCCATGTGCAGTTGCAAACCGTAGTCTGGCTTTTTTATGGCGGTTTTGGAGCAGTGGCTCTTTCCTTGCTGAGCAGCCTTTCAGGTTATGTCGATATAGGACTCGTTTTACTGTGGTTATAGATACTTTTGTACCTGTTTCCTCCAGCATCTTCACAAGGTCCTTTGCTGTTGTTCTGGGATTGATTTGCACTTTTCGCACCAAAGTACGTTCATCTCTAGGAGACAGAACGCGTCTCCTTCCTGAGCGGTATGATGGCTGCGTGGTCCCATGGTGTTTATACTTGTGTACTATTGTTTGTACAGATGAACATGGTACCTTCAGGCGTTTGGAAATTGCTCCCAAGGATGAACCAGGCTTGTGGAGGTCTCCAATTTATTTTCTGAGGTCTTGGCTGATTTCTTTTGACTTTCCCATGATGTCAAGCAGAGGCAGAGTTTGAAGGTAGGCCTTGAAATACATCCACAGGTACACCTCCAACTGACTCAAATTATGTCAATTAGCCTATCAGAAGCTTCTAAAGCCATGACATAATTTTCTGGAATTTTCCAAGCTGTTTAAAGGCACAGTCAACTTAGTGTATGTAAACTTCTGACCCACTGGAATTGTGATACAGTGAATTATAAGTGAAATAATCGGTCTGTAAACAATTGTTGGAAAAATTACTTGTGTCATGCACAAAGTAGATGTCCTAACTGACTTGCCAAAACTGTAGTTCGTTAACAAGAAATTTGTGGAGTGGTTGAAAAACAAGTTTTAATGACTCCAACCTAAGTGTATGTAAACTTCTGACTTCAACTGTCTCTACTTTGCCTCTGTGAAATATGCCATGAATGTGAATTAAATCAGTGTACATTGTCTGGGCCCCCAGATAAGTAATAATAGGACTGAGGTGGACATAGCGTCAAGAACGCTACTGCTGATAGTGCTCCATGAGAAGGACACAAAGCAATTTTGAACCCTGATTTGAACCTTGGGTGCTCATCGTGTGTGCTAATAAATGAGGCATTGCTATTACCTAGGCTCGTCGATCCTTTGGGAGCATAGGCCATTGAAGATTACTTTCCATCGCACTCGGTTGTGAGCAGCCTTCTCCAGCTCATTCCACCCCATGCCGGTATTCTTGGTGTCCGTCAAGATCCAGAGATGAGGCATGCCTCATTAGACAACCCTCAATTCTTCTTGATTAATGAACGGTGGACAAAAAAAACCAACGGTTGGAGCCATGAGTTTAAATATAAATGTGTATTTACATCAATATCGAGAAAAAAAAAACATTTGTTACATACATCCTGTAAAATAAAAAAGGAAACAAAAAATAAGCATACCCAGGTGAAAATATCCTTTGTTTTTGCTCTTTAATACAATTCTACTTAGGTAATTTCATTAAGTAATTAAAACTGGACATAAAATAATTATATTTTCTGGAGGAAAAAAAAGATTATTTCATTCCATATGGTATTCCTCTTCCACAGCAAAGGGCTTTGCCAGTCAATTATACATCCACACATTACTGCTACTGTTAGCTACCCACTGGCCTCTGAACAATACGCAGTCACCTATGCTTTCAGTACAAAATCTAAATATGCATTTATAATTTCATGATATGTACCCAGTAACTGTCTGCATATACAAGGCGGCAGGTAGCTTAGTGGTTAAGAGCGTTGTGCCAGTAACCGAAAGGTCGCTAGTTCTAATCCCCGAGCCGACTAGGTGAAAAATCTGTCGATGTGCCCTTGAGCAAGGCACTTAACCCTAATTGCTCCTGTAAGTCGCTCTGGATAAGAGCGTCTGCTAAATGACCAATTATTATTTATTTTTACAATGCATAGATAAAAATGTACACCGTCAACGTCAGACGCTAAACAACGAACTGGAAAAATATATTTGGATTGCGCAATGTTTTAAGGTAGATTTCTTGGAAAGTCAAGAGTAACAGTCAACGGAAATGAGGAAAACAAGAGTTAGGGAAGGAAGGAAGGAAGGAAGGATAACTACTTTAGGAACTGTCCCCACCCCATCCCATCTTTTTCTACAATGTTTATACACAATTCCTACACATCAGCTTGCCAGACATCTCTGCTCATTTGAGGGACTGCCCTTTCTTCATTCACTTCAGTCCTGTGTTTCTTTCCATATTCACCACCATCAAACCTTTCGATAATTTCGAAGTTCCAAACAGTCAACACACCAGAAATAAAAGTGCTTCTAAAAAGAAATAGACAGCTTATCACGTAAAAAAACATGTTCAGAGGATAAGGACAAAGTGGAAAATGGGAAACCCACACACCCTCACTTAACATCGTCCAAAAGGCTCAAATAAACTACAAACTAAAATTGTATTGACCTTCTAGAATTGGACCAAGTCTTACACTGTGCAAAAAAAGTGACGTATAAAAAGCATGTATGATCCATTTGTAGCATATTCACAATTTTTATTCACATAGAATACATTTGTGACTAATTTGATCTAATACTGCAGTACCGTTTGCTTATGAGTTCATGATGCTCAGTTTCAGTTTAAAGCATAGAGGAAATTTGTATTGCTTGAATCTGCATAATATAGAAATAACCTGTGTTTACAGCTCCTGATGATTTAAAAACAAAATGAGGCACATCCAAAGGATAAAAGGAAAAGAAAACCAATGCTGTGAATGCATTGAATCTCTGGTAAGGCTATAATGACTAAGAAATATTGCAACAAACCTTTTACATAGAAGCCTTCTGGTAAAGTGCAGCCATAGCTAGTTGTACCGTATCCCATCCTGTTTCCAAATAGATTCTGTTTCCCAGTGTTGATACTGTATACTGTATGACAGCTAGCTCCAGTGGTCAAGGGGTGTTATTCATTAGTCGGTTTCCATTGCAAAACGCTTCGAAATGGAAACCGTTTACTCCAAACGAAAAACCTTTTGCAACAAAAACAAGAGTTTCTATTGGACAAATTCAGGTAGGTCCCTCCCAGTACTGTTCCCTTTGGTTCCAAGAGTAAAATGTAAACGGTTTCTGTTGCAAAATGTTTCGCAATGGAATCCGACTACTGAATACACCCCTTACACACACACACACGATGAGGCCTCCTCTGGTGTAGAAGGCAGTACGCCGATCACATTCCCACAGGTTAACGCCGATCACACTCCCACAGGTTACAGGAAGAGAAAGCAGGGCGTTTTCTTGAACTAAGTCACTCACACAGTCCTCCAGAGAGAGGCAAGCCTACAGTGAGAGGCTGCATTAGGTGTCTTTATTTCTGTCACTCAGTCTCACTGTGGCTTCTTACGAGTCTCTCTACACACAGGGCTGAGAACAGTGGCGGGAGCAGATCTTGGAGCTGTGTCTGGTGGCCCCTGGCCAGGCTCTCAGTCTCTGCTGGGGCACTGCAGTCTCTGCTGCCTTCCGGATGAAGGCTCTTATTGATTACATACATTTTCAGCAATATTTCTGTAAATGACACAAAATGTAGGCTAATGTTACAATAAATTCACACAGTTCAGCCTGAGCTATCAAATAACTACTGGGAAGTTATGACATTTTATAACTATCTTGATTTACTGACAAATGACAAACTATTTACCTGTTCAGGTCCCATTGGCATTCGGCCCAATCCCATGGAGTTCATGCCCATCTGCCCCTGCATTTGCCCAGCCATTTGCCCCTGCATTTGCCCAGACATTTGTCCAGACATTTGCCCAGACATTTGTCCAGACATTTGCCCCTGCATTTGTCCAGACATTTGCCCCTGCATCTGGCCCATCTGTGCTCCAGCAGCACCACTGACTGGGCCTGGCCCGCCCATGGAGCCGTTCATCATCATGGGCCCCCCAAACTGGCCTGGGTTCCCCTGCTGGGTGAACTGCTGCTGGGGGTATGAGCTGAAAGACAGAGAAATACAGAGAAGTATAAAGAACAAAGTAGATGGAGATAGAACAGGAAGTAATGGAGTGTGTTTTTTGCCATTATATCAGTGTATCAGACATACTTGTTCCGTGCCATGCCACCCTGTGGCCAGCCTTTCATGTCTGCTGACTGGTACATGGGGCTGCCTTGGGGCTGTTGTTGCATCATGGGATTCTGAGGTCCTCCCATGCGACCTGGCATCATGTTGCTGGGCAGGCTGCTGCCTGTGCCTACAAACGAGGGGTCTCCTTGCTGGTTCATTCCTATAGGCACAGCCACAAGTCTTATCATTTCATGTCTGCATTGTAAATTCTGTGTTAGAAATAACAGTTAGAAAGAGAGGAAGACAGTTTACGTTACAACCCCCATGGATGGAAAAACTCCTGGTCAGAAGGGTATGAATGGGGGAAAGAGTTGGGAGTACAGAGCCTTCTATTTTAGAGAATAGTCAATGGAGGAGACTCATCAAGGCTAGTAAATAAATGGATATGAATTTAGGTCAGATAGCTCACCATAGTTTCCGCCGTAGGTGAACTGCTGCTGCCCTGGCTGGTTCATGGGGGGTCCTGCCATGGGGTTGTCCATGCCTGCAGGGGCCGTTACGTTAGGTGGGGGGCTGAAGCCTCCTGCTGCAGCCTGTTGCTGCTGCTGTTGTTGCTGCTGCATTATCATCATCATCCTCTGTCTCCTCATCTGTAGGGTCATCATCTCTCTGCTGCGCTGAGCCATCATCTGAGCATTCAGGAAGCCAGGCTGACCAAGCAGACAGGGGAAAACACTGATATGACTGCAAGTACTGCATGGCAACAGCATGGGTTTCATCAGTGTGTGTGAGGTGGTCTACCCTACCAGATGTTGATTTAATGGAGCATGATGTGGAAGGGGTGTACCTGACCGTCCATGCCGGGCTCCATCCCGGGCCGTATCGCAGGGTTTCCTGTAGGGGCATTCTCCATCTTGATGCCCATGCCCTGACGGGTCTGGTTCATGAACTACAGCGGGAGAGAACAAAGTTACTCACATTTGCCATCCATATACAGTGGGGGAAAAAAGTATTTAGTCAGCCACCAATTGTGCAAGTTCTCCCACTTAAAAAGATGAGAGAGGCCTGTAATTTTCATCATAGGTACACGTCAACTATGACAGACAAAATGAGAAAAAAAAATCCAGAAAATCACATTGTAGGATTTGTTATGAATTTATTTGCAAATTATGGTGGAAAATAAGTATTTGGTCAATAACAAAAGTTTCTCAATACTTTGTTATATACCCTTTGTTGGCAATGACACAGGTCAAACATTTACACACACTGTTGCTGGTATTTTGGCCCATTCCTCCATGCAGATCTCCTCTAGAGCAGTGATGTTTTGGGGCTGTCGCTGGGCAACACGGACTTTCAACTCCCTCCAAAGATTTTCTATGGGGTTGAGATCTGGAGACTGGCTAGGCCACTCCAGGACCTTGAAATGCTTCTTACGAAGCCACTCCTTCGTTGCCCGGGTGGTGTGTTTGGGATCATTGTCATGTTGAAAGACCCAGCCACGTTTCATCTTCAATGCCCTTGCTGATGGAAGGAGGTTTTCACTCAAAATCTCACGATACATGGCCCCATTCATTCTTTCCTTTACACGGATCAGTCGTCCTGGTCCCTTTGCAGAAAAACAGCCCCAAAGCATGATGTTTCCACCCCCATGCTTCACAGTAGGTATGGTGTTCTTTGGATGCAACTCAGCATTCTTTGTCCTCCAAACATGACGAGTTGAGTTTTTACCAAAAAGTTCTATTTTGGTTTCATCTGACCATATGACATTCTCCAAATCCTCTTCTGGATCATCCAAATGCACTCTAGCAAACTTCAGACGGGCCTGGACATGTACTGGCTTAAGCAGGGGGACACGTCTGGCACTGCAGGATTTGAGTCCCTGGCGGCATAGTGTGTTACTGATGGTAGCCTTTGTTACTTTGGTCCCAGCTCTCTGCAGGTCATTCACTAGATCCCCCCGTGTGGTTCTGGGATTTTTGCTCACCGTTCTTGTGATCATTTTGACCCCACGGGGTGAGATCTTGCGTGGAGCCCCAGATCGAGGGAAATTATCAGTGGTCTTGTATGTCTTCCATTTCCTAATAATTGCTCCCACAGTTGATTTCTTCAAACCAAGCTGCTTACCTATTGCAGATTCAGTCTTCCCAGCCTGGTGCAGGTCTACAATTTTGTTTCTGGTGTCCTTTGACAGCTCTTTGGTCTTGGCCATAGCGGAGTTTGGAGTGTGACTGAGGTTGTGGACAGGTGTCTTTTATACTGATAACAAGTTCAAACAGGTGCCATTAATACAGGTAACGAGTGGAGGACAGAGGAGCCTCTTAAAGAAGAAGTTACAGGTCTGTGAGAGACAGAAATCTTGCTTGTTTGTAGGTTACCAAATACTTATTTTCCACCATAATTTGCAAATAAATTCATTAAAAATCCTACAATGTGATTTTCTGGATTTTTTTTCCTCAATTTGTCTGTCATAGTTGACGTGTACCTATGATGAAAATTACAGGCCTCTCTCATCTTTTTAAGTGGGAGAACTTGCACAATTGGTGGCTGACTAAATACTTTTTTCCCCCACTGTAGGTCACCCACCTGCCTGCTTTTATATGTGCTTCTATATCTAGACCTATCTATCACAATCAAATATAGCCTCTTCTGCAACTTCGAAGTCATGTGTGTCATGCTAATACCTGCTGGCCCTGTAGTCTCTGCTGTAGCTGCAGTCTGAGGGGCTTGGTGGCGCTCATCATGCGGGGTCTCATCATGGTGGCGCGGGGGTGACCCATGCCCCCAATGCCAGGGAAGCCCCCTGAGCCTACCTGACCCCCCATCTGGTTCATGGGGTTGAAGCCAGCAGAGGACTGGCCCTGCATGGGGTTGGCCCCATAGGCTGACTGCATGCCCATGGAGGGGGGTCCTGGATACCCCTGGACATACATGGGCTTCTGCTCCATCTCCATGGAGCTGTCTGGTCCTGGGCCAGGGAAGGGCTCTGATGGGGACCTCTGCCCCGGACCTGGCTGTGGCTGCTGCTCTCGACCAGGACTCTGTGTGGGAGAGAGGTCAGACATAGTCAATATAACAGTGTAGTTCTTGTCACATGGTTTATAGGGGCCGTAAATAGAGGACGCTCCATGTTATCCGAATGTCCTCATAAGGTACCTGTCCTACGAGGTCGGGGATGCCCAGGGCCCGGTCAATCTCCTCAAGGGCGATGACGTCAGTGTTGTTGAGCAGAGAGTCCAGCTGGTCCAGCAGCGCCAGCTCATCACTCTGCCCCTGGCTGGTGGAGGGCGGCACCAGGAGCTCATCCAGGGGGTTCCCAAACTGACGCCTGGTACACAACAAGGGGAGGGGGGGGGGGGGATCAGTGCAGGCACTAGTTGTATAAAGAGGAGCCAACGTACTTCACACTACGTGTTAATGATGTGTGGGTTAATAGGAGACAGAGCGAACAGATGAGAGTGTGTGTGTGTGTGAGATGAAGATGGTTATTCACCTATTTGTGTTAATGGGTGGTCCGTCCATTCCCATTGCACTGTCAGGCCAGGAGGGGGACTGAGGTGGAGGACCCTGCCCACTGAAGGGACTCATCCCCATATTCACCTCACTGGAACCTATAGAGGCAGTAGAATTCAGCATGAACCAATCAAACACACATATAGTTGGTAATATTCACACAGACACACTTCAGTACATACCCATTTCTATGAGTTGCTGCTGCAGCATAGACCTGGTGCTGCCAGGTAAACTGTTGGACCTGTTGACAATGGGGCATCTCATCATGCCCTTGGAGTTGAAGTCCATCCCTGGCCGGCCCATTGAGGGGTGTCCTGGCACACCCACAGGACTTCCACTGGACCTGGGCATCCCCCAGTCACCTTGCCCTGCCATGGGAGGTCGCTGTGGCATCCCAATACCCCTGTTCATTCCTCCAGGGGAACACACAAACAGTGCAGTTATTATCCATGAACTAGACATAGTCTTCTAACTGTAGTCTTTACACTGTTCCAGTCAGCTGGGAGTAGTTACTTGTGGCAGCACCGCCCCGTGGTGGACACACACCCATGCCTCCTGGTACAGGGAAGCCGCTGGTCATGCCTGGCCGGATGGGGGCCTCCATGTTTTCCTGTTTGATGAGCGTGGGGCAGGGGACGTTCCTCCTCCCCGCCAGGCATCCACCACCACCCAGGGGTTTAGCATCCACTGACAGTGCCCGCTGGAGAGGTCCACGCCGGGCAGGCAGCATGGCTCCTCTCTCCCCACCTGGAACACACAGCGGAAGGGTCAGTACAGGCCAACGACAAACATTATATGTATAGTAAGGATGTCTGGTTTGCTGCATAACAGTCAATTAATGGCCAACATATTAGCACTTCTGGACTGATCTATTCATAATTTAAATTAGAATCCACTCATGCTAGTATACCATGCAAACTGTCTGGGCCATTTCCCTGCTGGTTTCCCCCTTCGTTTCCTGCTCTGGAGTCCGGTTCGGGATTAAACCCAGAGCTGGAGTTCTTGCGGCCTCCGAGAATTGTCTCCAGGGTTTCCAACTGGGAAAAAAAACACACGTTACTGTTAATTAACAGTGGAATCAGTTAACAAGCTGCTCTTTGCTGAATAAATAATATAAAGTAATTAACCGTAGGCAGGGCACACATTATTATACACACTGATGCTCACAACTTTAAAAAGTTAGGAGCACAACATAAAATGTAGGGGCACCAGAAAATGTTTTTTTTTTATCAAATGAGATATACAGCAGCCTATATGAATTCTAGCTACTTCTGAATTACGTTGTGCATTGGTTTATTATAAAAAGCTAAAATGTTGATACAAATACCGGTAATTGAAATTAGAAAGTCATGTGTGGAATATTAGGTTTCTACATTATGTAAAAGCACTATTTTCCTATTGAGATGCATTACAATGAAAATTGTACAAGTCTCTTTAAGAGCGTCAAGTTTTTGATGACTACATGCAAGACACCTGTCATTCATTCAATGCTATGATCATTGATCTCCAGAAGAAGCTATCCCTTTACTTTTTGTGGCCGCAAATGTTTGGATATACTGGTAAAGTTACGGGGTTGTTAGAACTGCCCGCGACATGGTTTATGAATGTAAAATTAAAACTCCAGGTCGCACAGCAAAATATGTTGTTGCATATGTGATCAAATTGGTTGCACTTTAGAGCCCTGACTGTAGGTACAACGTCCCTTCCTACCTCATCAGGTGGTTCAGTCTTGACCTGCTCCACAATGGGGTTGGGTTCAGAGGTCGTGACCCCTGAGGATGCTCCCTGGGCTCCCCTGCCTTCCAGCTTTGGTTTGACATCACCCCTTGCCCCTTTGGAGTCATCTTTGTTGAGGAGGTAGTGGAGGAGGGCGTGGGTCTTTTCCTTCTTGGGGCTGTGCTGTTCATGCTTCACCTCAGCCCCCCTCGCCCCTGGTCCCTCTCCTGGATCTACTGGCCCAGCCTCTGGACCCCCACCATCTGTGACCTTCCCTGTGGCCTCGGCTGTGATGCGGGCCACCTCGTCTGGGGTGTTCCCATTCTGCAGCAGCTTATGGAGGATCTTGTGCTTCTCCTGCAGGGACTGGTTGGCAAAGTGTGCTGCTGCAGCCCCTGCTCCTAGGCCCTGCTGTCCCACTGCAGCCGTGGAGGAGGACACGCCTGTGGCGGAGGGGCCGGTCAAACCCCCTATGCACTCTTTGGACTCAGAGCCCATGGGGGTGGTGCCAGGGCCGGCCTGGGGGTTAGGGGGCACTAGCTCCTCCGTAGGGGAGGTGAGGAGCTGCAGGAGCTTCTTGTGGCCCCCCTTGTTGTCTGGGTCCCGTCGGTTGGCTTCTCCCCCGGCTGGGCCCTCCCTGCTGGCCTGGCTGTCTGGCTTGTCTGGGGTTTGCTGCTGCGCTCCCCCACTGGCCAGAGAGTTGCCCGGGCTCTTGGAGTCTGAACTGCCTGGTTTACAAGGCCCACCATGGCACTGCCCCTGGCTCTGTCCCTGCTGGGTGGAGTTGACACTGGGGGAGCTGTCAGGCTTGTGTGCAGGGGGAGAGTTGAGGGGCGAGGGGAGGGCTGAGGATAGAGAGGTGCCCACCCCCTCACTGATGGCCTGGAGGGCGCTCAGGGAGCTGCTGGAGAAACTGGTGCTCCCTCCTGCGCCTCCAGGACCACCTGGGTGACCCGAGCTCATGGGAGAGTGCATACCTCCTGGGGAGAAGGGGCTAGCGCCCATTTTGGGGCTCCCCCTTACTCTAGGGGAGCCCATGATGTTCTGCTGGGGGGCGTTAATCCCTGGACTGCTCTGGGGGGGGCTGGTCATGCCCCCCATGCCGTATCCCGCTCCATGGAACGGGGCCTGCTGTTGCTGATGCTGTGGATGCTGCATTCCAGGGTGGTTCATCTGATTCCTCTGGTTCATTTGATTCATCTGGTTCATCCGACTCATAGAATTCATCTGGTTCATGGAATTCATCCGAGAGTTCATTGGACGTATGGAGTTGATTTGATTCATGGAATTCATCTGACTCATGTTGTTCATTGGTTGACCCATTGAATTCGTCTGAGAGTTCATTTGATGCATTGAGCGGTTCATTTGAGTCATCTGATGCATTGAGTTCATCTGATTCATGGAGTTCATCCCGTTGCCCCCTGTGTACGAGGGGCCGCCTCTCTGTCCCATGTGCCCCTGCTCTGCCCCCATGCCATAGCCCCTGTTCATGCCACCCCTGCCCCCTCCAGGAGCCATGTTCATCTGGGCATTGGGGTTGGTGATGCCCATGCCCTGGGGCCTCATCACTCCCCCCTGGTTGGTTTGGTAGCCATTCTGCTCCCTGACAGAGAGAGAGAGAATGAGGGGTCAGGAGTGGAACATGGTGATTAAACACTAAACTCTACTTACATCTACAGTAAAAACCTCAGTTCAATCTTATCTACTACGATTGGGCAAAGAAAACAGTAAAATCCTACACTGAGTGGGTGATAATGATGCCATGGCTCTGGGCGCTCCAAGCTGACAGACTAACCTCTGTAGCAGATGGGTAGAGAGGAAGGTGGGTGGCTCATTGGAAGCGTGGCTACGACATAGCTCGCTCCTGGTCTGAGCAGTGACCGGGGTGCCGTCGGAGAGAGAGAACCGGTAAGATGGCGTCTCGGCACGGCCATGCAGGAAGGCTGGAGAGGACAGAGGGAGAAAACTATGAAGACTGAGAAAATGAGACTGACCGACCAACATGCTTATCACCTAGTAGTAGCCTTGGTTAGGAGCAGAGATGCATTGTACTTGTGCATTTACAGCAGAGTAACAACGTGAGACATTGGCGAGAAGACATGGTGATATAGCAGGGAGCATGGAGCCAGAGAGGAGAGTTTAGCAGAGAGAGGCGTACCCTCATGGTAGTGGCGTTTGTAGGACCAGGGATGGCCCTCAGTACGATGGAGGAACATCTGCATGCAGCGCCTGACCAGATCCTCCCAGCCTGGCCGCATGGTGGTGTGGAGAGAACTCTGTTGTTCTATCTCTATCAGTTGACCTATCAGACAACACAACCACACAAAGGGCAGGGGTCACATACATGGCAATTATATTCTTATTTAATTTTGATCAACAAATGTTGTATCTCAATGTTATAATGTAGTCAAACTAAACTGTATAATCCTACATTTTTGCAGATCAATCGACAATCCCGCAACAGTTTGAGAGTGTGTTATGTTACTCAGAATGAATGGAGAGAGCATATGAATAGAGAATGAAGACGTGAATGCAATGTGTTTACAGTCATCTCACCTGAGAGCTCATGGCGGGTGCTGAACTGCTCGGTCCTCTCCACTGCAGTGACGCGCCGGGCCACACAGATCATACACGACTGCAGGTCTGAACACACACACACAATCCTTCTCTAATGAACCTATATCAGGCTTCCCATAATCAATTTACAGCAACTCAATGTGAAGAGCACAGCAAGTCTGCATCATAAATAGAAATTACACATCTAACCGTGACACATGACTGAGGAGGACTTCCTGCCCTTAGACCCCTACCTTCTCCCTCCTCCATCATGGCACGGGGTTGGGTCAGGGCGAAAGCACTGCATGGTCTCGTAGTGCTGCCTGTTGGGCCCCTCAGACGGACCATGGTTCTGATGGTTCTGCCCGTGACCGTACTTCACCAGCATACGACAGTTAAAGGTGTGGCTCTTCTGACGCGGTGCCTCTCCTCCCCATGACCCACCGTTGGGTGCTGGAAGAGACAAGGGGACACAATAATTGCTTTCATGCTGTAGGTTGGGAAGATTACCGTTCTGCAGTGCCACTAAATAAAAGTCTAATGGCATATGTGTTATTGTGACTGCAGTTGTGTGTGTGCGCACGTGTCTCTGCGTACCGTTGGTCTTGGGCAGGTTCTTGTGCAGCTCCTCCCGGTCGTCCTCATGGAGGATGTTGTAGATGGAGGTGTTGATGAGCTCCTCCTGTTTGTACTGAAGGAACTGAGTCACGTTGTCAGACACAAACACGATACTGCCCTCCCGGTTCACCACAAACAGGAAGCCATCCAGGGCCTGAGCCAGAGGACAGAGGGGGAGGAACAAGAGGAGATAGTTATTGACACACAGAATTCTATTATCTATACTAAATGTGTGTGACCAGCTGCTCAGTCTTGTATGTCCCCCATTCAACATAAGGAGGTGAACCTAATTCCACTGCCCTTTGACCCCCCCCCCATCCTCAGGCTAACCTGTAGCAGCAGCGGTCCCAGATGGTCCTTGTCAATGACCCCCTGACCGGTGGACGACACATCTGCCTTCTGGACGTCGTCATCGCTGCACGAGCTCTTCCCTGCAGAGGGACAAGGACCCCAAGTCACTTCACAGTAGATAAGGTCAATCTAGTAATAATGCAACACATAGCAGCACATGTACACCCTCTGTAAACAACCAGCATGATATCCATTGTGGAATTGTGAGGAGAAATGAGAAACATTACATCTGCAAAACAGTTTTACTGGAGCCCAACATTTGCATAAAAGACAGAGACGCCAGTGATCCAGACAACCATTTGTCACTGTAAGATGACTGTTACTGTCTGCCACCAGGAGGCAGCATTACCAATGTTTTTACAGTTCTAAAAATATAATTCCATTTTAAATCATGATATAGTTACGAGTCCGACACATTCTGAGTGAATAGATTCAGTTGCAAGGAAGAGAATGAAAAAAAAAAAATGCTTCTGATTTTAAAGGCTGCTTCAAGGCTAACACTAATGTAAGGGAAGATAATGCCTAAATGAGATGACTTAAGGATTAAAGGAATAGGTGAAAGAAAGAGCAAGAGATAGGTAGGGGGTTAAAAGGTCACAGTGAAAGAAGGATGGCCTTCATCATTCACTTCCTGTAACTATGGGAACCTGGCTGTACAAAGCTAGAAGCAGCAGCAGCCAGCTGTGGCCCTGTGGTGGCTTCCAATCCAATAACTTCCTTCCTTCCTCCTTCCTTCCTCCCATCCTCCCTTCCTCCCTTCCTCTTCACTGATCTGAGTGGACTACATAACTATAAGATGCACATAACCCACCAGAAGGCTGGGTGGAGTTAATACGGCTTACACCGATCCAACCACTTCAGAGCCATAAAGGGGAAATGAGCGGGGGGGGGGGGGGGGGGAGTGATTTATGGGGTTGGAATCCCTCCCCTGTCCCAGCCCTAACCCTCCCGCCCTGCTCTCCTCCAGTCCCATCCGTCACCCAGGCTGGGCCTGCCACTCAAGTGCAAACAGACAGATGAGCCTGGAGCACCACAGCCTTGAGCCATCACCACCACGACTCAACTACTGGTGTTAATTTCCCCCAAACACAAACACCGAGGCCAGGCAGGCCACCCGGCCATGAGCCCACCACCTAGTCTCTACAGCCCTGTTTGGCACTGGCATCCTCTGACCATGCAACCATGCACTGAGCTAATACTACAGCAAGGATTCACGAATGCCAAATCATGTTCTCCTACATCTACCTCCTTTTTTTGCTAAATCCAAAGGCGATAACGTGCTGATATTAAGATGACTGTTAGCATTTGCATGTTAGCATTAGGGAGCTGGTACCTTGCCCTTTGATCTGTCTGATCTGCCGGACGGTCTCCTTGAGGATGGCACATTTGTCTGGCTTCACGTTGAAGCTGTCCATGTTGCTGAGGTTGGCAGAGATCAGCTCGGCCAGCTCCTCCATGTAGTTACTCTCCTGCTCCCTCCTGCGCTTGTCACATCTGCAGGGACAGGGAGTGGGGGGGAATAGGAGATACGGTCAGATATGTCACCATGACAACCACACCTCTCCCTCCATAATGACCTGCTGTATACTGGAGTCAAGATGCTGACATCACAGAAATCTTCTACATGGAAAAACAGATATTGAAGCCGAGTAGAGGGAATTTAACAGAGGCTAGAGTGAAAAGGACACAGGCAGTGTCACACACAAAGATCGACAGAAAGGAAGATGGAGACAGACAGACACAGCTTCCAACAGTGACTCACCCCATGCCTGGTGTATCACAGGTGGAGATCTTGCGTTTCTGTTCGGAGCACATGGGCTCCAGTGAGTTGTCTCCCACTTCACTCATCCTCAGCGCATATCAGCACCTGGGTAGACAAGACAGAGATGCACTGTAACCAGACTGACATGGCTAACTCTATTATGTTAGAACTTAGAAAAGGTCCCTTCTTTGGGCGTCTCATCCAATTGGTTAGTCCATTAAAACGATTATTCCATACACTAACTACTACTATAATCCCTCTATTCATATTTCAATTAAAAAATAAAAATAGCAAAGGCAATTTCAGATAGTATGCTGGAGGTAGCTAGTAGTGCTGAGTGATTAGTGCTTTTTGAGGTTGGTTCAGTTATAAAAATAAAAAAAATAGGTTTTCGATTTCGGTTTTGATTATCTGGGTTGAATGCTATAACACAGGGGTGTCAAACTCATTTTAGCTCAGGGGCCACATGGAGGAAAATCTATTCCCAAGTGGGCCGGACCGGAAAAATCATGGTATATATAACTTAAAAACAACAACTTCAGATTGTTTTCTTTGTTTTAATACGATCAACATACAACATAAAGCTGGAGCCTGAGGACAGTGTGTCTAAAATAGTACAAGCACAACATCACTATTAATCATAAAACACGTCAAGTTTATTTGAAAATTCTAAAGAAAAAGAACACAAACACACAATGCCTCAGTGATTAACAGAACTGTTTCACAGATCACAGAACTATATCAGGGTGTCATTTCTCAGGCAGAAATGTAGATAAAAATAATGAAATCCTGTTCCCCAAACAAGTGCAAGAACCACAGAGTCAAGAATAGGTTAAATATACAAATAAAATAAAATCAATTAAAAACAATAGCACATCAACATAAAAACATATAAACATAAAGCTGGAGCCTGAGGACAGTGTCCAAAAGCACAACATCACTATTAATCATAAAACACCTCAAGTTATTTGAAAGTTCTGAGGACAAAGAACACACAAACACACAATGCCTCAGTGATTCACAGAACTGTTTCACAGATCACAGAACTATATCAGGGTGTCATTTCTCAGGCAGAAATGTAGATAAAAATAATGAAATCCTGTTCCCCAAACAAGTGCAAGAACCACAGAGTCAAGAATAGGTTAAATATACAAATAAAATAAAATCAATAGCACATCAACATAAAAACATATAAACATAAATCTGAAAGCGTTGCTCAAACTCCCGTAACAGTCCCGTTATTTTATCTTTGAACAGCTTCATGTCTGCCACATGTTGGGTCGCGCACACATTTTTCAGACAGAGGAAGTGAGCTGCATCACCACCGGCAAGTTGCGTCTCCCACAATGACAGCTTCAACTTGAAAGAACGTATGCTGTCATAATACTGCGTGACAACTTTGTTGCGCCCTTGCAGCTGTTTGTTCAAGTTATTCAGGTGCTCTGTAACATCCACCATAAATGCAAGGTCCTGCATCCATTCTGCGGAATGAAATTCTAACACTGGTTTGCCCTTTTCTTCCATGAACTGTTCAATTTCTTCTCGTAAATCAAAGAAACGCCTCAGCACAGCACCTCGGCTTAACCATCTTACCTCAGTGTGGTATGGTAGGCCATAGATGTGGTCTTTCTCTCTGAGAAGGCTGTCAAACTGAGGCTTCTGGATCGGATGAAATTAACAGTTTGGATGACCACCTTCATGACGTTATCCATCTTTAATGACTTGCAACACAAAGCCTCCTGGTGCAAAATAAAGTGAAAAGTCAAAAAATCACGTCCTCCATTTGCAGATTGCACTTTCTCTCTGAACTTTGTCACAACGCCTGCTTTTTTCCCGATCATTGAGGGCGCACCATCTGTAGCCAGGCTGACAGTGCGGGACCAGTCCACTCCGACCCTGTCCAGCGCGCCGACGAGTGCGGTAAAAATATCAGCTGCTGTCGTTGTATCTGTCATCGGCACCAACTCCACGAACTCCTCGGTGACGGTCAATGTGTCATCAACTCCGCGGATGAAAATGGCCAGTTGTGCAACATCTGTAATGTCCGTGCTTTCATCAATTGCAACCGAAAACGCAATAAATGACTTTACTTTTTGCTTCAACTGGCTGTCCAAATCCACTGAAAGATCGGAAATCCTGTCTGCAACTGTGTTTCTTGTCAGGCTGATATTTGCAAAAGCCTGCCGCTTTTCAGGGCACACAATCTCCGCTGCCTTCATCATGCATGTTTTTACAAATTCACCCTCACTAAATGGTTTTGAAGCCACTGCGATTTCATTAGCAATGAGGTAGCTAGCTTTCACTGCAGCGTCACTGATGTCTCGGCTGTGAGTAAACACAGACTGCTGTTTCTTCAGACCCGCCAACAGTTCATTCACCTTCTCTCATCTCCGCTGTCCTTGAAAGTTGCCATATTTGTCGGCATGAAGACTCACATAGTGGCGACGAAGGTTATATTCTTTCAGCACTGCAACATGCTCTGAACACACCAAACATACAGCTTTCCCATTCAATTCCGTGAATAAATAGGATGACCATTTTTCTTGGAACACTCTGCGTCCACTTTTCTCTTTTTTGACAGAGACATATTGGGGCAATGAGGGTGCCAAAGCACATAATGTTAAAAGTAGAAGCCGTAATAAATATCGCGGGCAAAACAAAGTAGCTCATTGGCTGCACGTGCTTGACCTACTTGCTCTGCCCCGGTATAAACAGTTTGCTTGCTTAACACAATTGCTATTGCGCCATCCAGTGGACGCAATTGGAACAGCAGTTTATTTTATTGAAAAATTGCAGCGCATTTTTATACTTTACAAAATTAGTATAATATATATATATATTTTTTTTTTTTTTTTTATCATCTCGCGGGCCGGATTAAACCCGTTTGCGGGCCTGATCCGGCCCGCGGGCCGGACGTTTGACACCCCTGCTATAACAGAATAAAACAATACAAGTCCCATGATGGTAGTGACTGCCCATTAGTGCTTATCACTTATTAAATAATTTATTTACATTACTTTAATAAAATATTTCAGTTGTGTATATTACATTTGTATTATTTGATGACTATTATTTAATTCCAAGTCATCATCTCATCTCTATAGAGCTGCTGCCTATGCTGTCTGACAAAATCACTATATTGTAGTTCTTCAAAGTAAATAAGGCATACTTTTATGACTGCTGAATACCAACTATCAATCACTTTGATCATGTATTTGCAGGTCGAGATACCTCGCGAAGCAACAGATGCTCTCTATATCCCCTCATGATCTCGCATTCTTGTCTCTTCAGTAGCAGGCATTAAAAGATCCAGAGACTGGACAAGTAGATGTGCAATGGATTATGGTCATTGTAGTTAATTATCACATTTTATGCTCTAAACTATGTAGAATATTGGCCTGTTGGAAACTACAACTCCCAACTACACCACACAGTTCAAGCTGGATCTGATTTATCTCTAGAGAAACTGTACATTGAACTTACACATTCTAATAATTGAACTGACTTGGTCAATTAGTTATTTTAATAATAATTCACTGAAATCGCTCAGCACTAGTAGCTACTCGAGTCTCCCTTCATAGCATTTGATAGGAGGGAAATCTCATCTGTTCCAGTGTGAGGAGAGACTGACGATGATGTAGTGATTTAGAGCCTCGGGGGAAATGGGTCATCCTGCGTTCATCCTGCTGCTGCTGCCTGCTCTATTCCTCTTGCTCTAATAGTACAGCACAGCACACAGTGCAGTACAGTACAGTCACTAAACCCCCAGCACAGGGACAAGCACACGCTGAATTGTGTGGATTGTGTTCATAGACAACAATAGAAATGTTGGTCCCAAGTTTAGGCTATACTGCTCTGTTTAACCTCACTGAACAGCAAGATACATTCACATTTCCAACCGCTCCCTTTCCTGCATCCACTTCACACCTCTCAATCATCTTCACTCTCTCCTCTTCCCTTCGTGTCCACTTCTGACCCCGAATCCTCTCTCTATATCCGCTCTCCCCTTCTTCGTACACTCTCTGGCCATTCCTCTTACTGTCCCGCCCAACCCCCCTCTCTCTGAGCGTGCTGCAGAGTGCTGCTGGCCGGCCGGGCGACCCTGCCCTTGTTTTCCTCCCCTGGCCCGGCCTTGCACTGCGTCTGACCCCTCAGGGTTCACACAATAGGAAGGCAGCCACTAAGGCCACTGCTCTTTCCCGTTCTACACAGAAAAAATATTAGAGTTCATTGTTCCAGCAGTTGAGACGTAGGCCACAACAGACACACATCTCAGATGTGTACATACTCAAATGTGTGGGCAAGCACACTGGCACGCACAGACATACACTGGCTTTCTAACAAGCACACACACACACACACACACACACACACACACACACACAGCTATGAGCTCATCATTCCTGAGTGGAAAACTGCAGAACGGATGGAAGTCGTTATGCAACCTTAGTCCAAACTGCAGGCATGGACGTGTATAGCACCACCTTTCTGACACTCCTAGTCTCCTACTCGTACGTCTCCACTGCATGCTCCCTGTCTTTTCTGTCCCCGAACTCACCTCTGCAGTAGTGGAGAATGATGACATCAAACCACAGTCAGCTTCACATCTTGAAAGACACAAACACACCGCTAGAGCAGAGTGCTGCTTGCCGGTAATGATAGAAAAGGCAGAATATATATCTCACCTGTATACAGTATATAGGGGGAAAAGAAAAAGGAAGAAAGTGGTTATATAGATCAGGGTTTTCCAAACTTGGTCCTGGGGCCCCCCCTGAGTAGACATTTTGGTGTTTGCCCTAGCACTACACAGCTGATCCAAATAACCAACTCATCATCAAGCTTTGATTATTTGAAATCAGCTGTGTAGTGCCAGGGCAAAAAACAAAATGTGTACCCAGGGAGGGCCCCAGGACCGAGTTTGGGAAACACTGCTATAGGAGACCGCAGTGAAATGTTTTCCTTGTAGAGATCTTTCCCCTGCATAGAATCTGCCAATCATACTATGGTAATGGTAAAGCATTTGAACATAAATTATTTTTCTCCAGTATTTTGACAACCATGCTGCCATGGCATCAAACAGTATATACATGTTTGTAACATGCATCATTCATTTGTTGTTAGCCTTTATTCTTCAACTTTTTTCCAGTAAGTTTGTTGACTTTGAAACCTTGCATTGAATCACCCTAAGGGAGATACAGTAGGCCATACTCTGGAGAGGACGCAAACAATGTAGCTATACCCTTTCTATTTCAGAGAGACGTCGACTGAAAACAGCAGCGCACCACAAATGAGTTACAACAGGCCTGGCATTATGCAAATAATCCTGAATCAGACACTTCTGACAATGTGAAACTTGCCCAGAGATAGTTAGGAGATGTTTGTTCCATCAGATACGGGGCAGGTATTAAAGTGATAGGAACCGAAAGCAGTTGGTTTTATAAAACAGCATAGGCTTACACAGTTAGTTGGACTATTGGAGACTGAGATTAATGAAGATCTGGGGACTCATTTATCATTCGTGTGTCCATTTCTCACTAAATTCTAGGATTTGCATGCTCAACAAATTATTGGGCTTATAAAAACAGTTGCACGCAACATAAGCATGTTTTTATTGATAAAATCAGAGCCGCACTACATTTGTGTGCTCGTGAACAAGCATTACAACCCCGCCTGGAAAACACCATAAAAGGTGAATGGAGGGCAACAAAAAAACACCCTCATTTGCTGTATGATTTGGAGATGTTAGAACTGGGCCATGACAGTTTCTAAAAAAGAATGAGCAATGGCGAATTTAAATAAATAAAAAATGCATGAAAATGCATAGCGAGTCCGAAACACTGGCTGCGCATTATGAAAGATTCTCTGTCTATTATAGTAATTTAAAAAGTAAATGCTATGGCCCACACTTCTATACAAAAGACTAAATGTTGTTCAATATTTTGTTTGTTTCTCCATCTCCTGCCTTGGTATAGGCACTAAGATTAAATAAGCTATGGTGTTGCGCTCGTATCGCACAGCAATACTGTCGCCTCCCCATATTGTCAAATGTTTTGAATAGACTATCGGTCTATTTTCTTTCGAGCATGCTTGGCTTTGTTGTGTAAACGGGAATAATCTGGTCATGTCAGAAAAGGAGAGACATGTCCTGTAATATGATTGTGCTTTAGGCCTATATAATAAAAGTTAAATAAACATATTAGACTACATGCTGCTATGCAATCTCCTTACCAACAGCAAATGCATCAGTTTTATCATTAAAATTGTCATGTTTTTATTAGCCTACCATTATTATAATTCCTGTGCATCAAACACCTTCATTTCCCCCTCGCAATATAATTGATCAACCACTAGAAGTTGTGCGTACGCATGGTTTGAGCTGTGCGCGGAATATGCACACTTTCCCGTCAAGTTTGATAAATACCAACCTTTGCGGGAAAACTGGCGCTAGCAAGGTTTAGTATTTTTTGTGCGCAGGCACCTTCAATAAATGAGGCCCCTGGAGAGTGTAAATGACAGACTCTAGTGCACTGGTCTACACACCTTCACCTGATTGTGTCCAATCCCAATCCATTCACAGTCTATGGTCTCAATGTCTTAGCACAGCCAGTTATAAGAGAGAAGAGACCAGCTCACACACTGTACAGATCCAGTTCATGCACATTAGCAGGTCTGCAGCATATCAGGCACTCTGACCAAAACACAAGCACGGGCTACAGCAGTGAAGGGCCAATGGATGGTACCGGAGTCGGACAGACAGGACTGTGACATGATAAAAAAAAGCTGACAGTTGGTGAACAAACATAACCAAGACCAATGTGCCTCCTGAAATGTGTAACGCAATACAAACCATACGTTTAATTTGGCTACGTTGACTTTATGTTCACTGACTGTGGGCTTTTATTGGAGATGTTTTCATGTGGAGTATGTCCCGCCTAAGTACTACAGTAAGAGCAATCCAGTTGGCTGGCTGATACAGGATGGAACAGAACCCACTCCTCTACTTCCTGTTAAAAAGGTTTAATATTTTGGTAGAACTTCATGGGACCATTATAAAAAATATATATATATATATATTTTTTTTTTAAGATACAGGAAGCCACAGAAGATAGCATCCTATTTGCATCCTCTCTCACTGTCCCCTGCGTCATCACTTTAGCTTCCTGGATATGTGGCTACCCATCCACCACATTTAAATATTCTGTGTATCGGTCCCTTTCCCACTATCTGGCCCTTAAATCCTCAGTTGGCTGTCAGAATCCATTACTGTAGTACCAAGCAACTATCCAACGCTAAGCTTAGTTATCCTCTGTCAGTTTCATTGGTGACCTAATTTCCACATTATTTCACAGGTTTACTTCCTGCCCACACCCATTAGGAAAATGTGGCACCGGACAACATGTCCAGGAAGATTTTAATTTACGGTCCATTTGAGAAATGTACCAATGGCAAAGTTTTAGAAACCCTTCTCTTGGCTGCAGAGACAATTTTGCTGTTTTGAAGCTAGTTTCCTGCAATTCTACGTATTTGTCATGGGGCTGAGAGAATTTTCAATTTTAAAGCTAATTTTCCAGCAATTATACACATTTTGCCATGGCTTATGCCATCTGAGTGACTCAAACATTATAACAAAATCAATGGGGGTCCCAATAGATAGATAAATCTATCTATCCCAAGGAATACCTGGGATAGTATAAAAGTAATCCTTCTACCCCCCCCCCCCCCCCCCCTACAAAATAAAAAAATAATACAATTGTAAAGTAGTTGTCCCACTGGCTATCATAAGGTGAATGCACCAATTTGTAAGTCGCTCTGGATAAGAGCGTCTGCTAAATGACGTAAATGTAAAACCGTTCAAAAGTTTGGGGTCACTTAGAAATGTCATTGTTTTCAAAAGAAAAGCTATTTTTTTGATCAGAAAACACAGTATAGACATTGTTAATGTTGTAAATGACTATTGTAGCTGGAAACGGCTGATTTAACTGAATATCTACATAGGCGTACAGAGGCCCATTATCTGCAACCATCAGTACTGTGTTCCAATGGCACGTTGTGTTTACTAATCCAAGTTTATCATTTTAAAAGACTAATTGATCACTAGAAAACCTTTTTGCAATTATGTTAGCACAGCTGAAAACTGTTATGCTGATTAAAGAAGCAATAAAACTGGCCTTCTTGAGACTAGTTGAGTATCTGGAGCATCAGCAATTGTGGGTTCGATTACAGGCTCAAAGTGGCCAGAAACAAATAACTTTCTTCTGAAACTTGTCAGTCTATTCTTGTTCTGAGAAATGAAGGCTATTCCATGCGAGAAATTGCCAAGAAACTGAAGATCTCATACAACTCTGTGTACTACTCCCTTCACAGAACAACGCAAACTGGCTCTAACCAGAATAGAAAGAGGAGTGGGAGGCCCCGGTGCACAACTGAACAAGAGGACAAATACATTAGTGTGTCTAGTTTGAGAAAGATGCCTCACAGGTCCTCAACTGGCAGCTTCATTAAAAATAGTACCCGCAAAACACCAGTCTCAACGTCAACAGTGAAGAGGCGAATCCGGGATGCTGACCTTCTAGGCAGAGTTGCAAAGAAAAAGTCATATCTCAGACTGCCCATCTTTTCTTTTTATTGGCCAGTCTGAGATATGGCTTTTTCTTTGCAACTCTGCCTAGAAGGTCAGCATCCCGGATTCGCCTCTTCATGTTGAGACTGGTGTTTTGCGGGTACTATTTAATGAAGCTACCAGTTGAGGAAGCTGCCAGTCATCCAATTTAAAAATCATTTGTTTTGTTTTTGCATCCATGTAAAACGTGACCAAGTTCACTACAGAATCTGAACAACAACGGTTTAATCTATTTGTGAAAATACATGCGTCTCATGAAAATAGAGAGCGAGTGAGACAGACAACTGTGACTTAAGATCAAGTAAGAGACAGAAATATGATTCACAATGGGACTGAAGTACAGCGAGGCCAGACATGCCAAGCATGTGTATACATGTGCAGACTTCTAAAAAGTTGAGCTGTAAAATTCTAAGAAAGACTCTATTATCCATTCGGAAGCACACTGGCAGCTCTGAATTCCAGCCAAGCCCTGAGCATGGGGGGAAAAAACAGGGGGTAAAACACTAACTCTCTCTTCTCGCGGTCTGC